ACAGTAATGATCAAAGAGGGACAAACATAACGCCTTTCCATCGGTGGAGGTCAAAACACACTGGGTTAGCATTTGAGATCTCTAGATATGCCAGAGTGTGGACATTACTGTAGCAGGGGAGATTGTATTACCAAACCACTGCAAAACAAGGAATGGTTTTTTTGGAATGGAGTGAATGGTGGGACAGGAAGATGATAACTTTGAGGAACTGCCTGCCAGCAGTTAACTTAAGATTTAGCATTTGACACAGCCCAGCTGAGAAGAAAGAACAGGAGGCAAAGGAGAAGAGCAAAGAAAGACAATGAAGGGGACAAGATTCAGTGACACAAAAAAAAAATATGCAGCAAATAAAAAAAAGCATGTACTCCCCCAGTTTCCTGTTTCCACTAAAAACATGGATTGTTTCCTTCTGTCTCTTACTGGTGACAGATTGTGCAAAATGTATGTGGAGAGCTGGCTGGAACATAGCTCACAGTCTGCCAAGGACCAAATGTGTAACAATTTCAAAATGACAGCAACATAGCCACTAAATATTTGATGAGGAAGTCTTTTAAGTCATAGATTACAAATCCCCCTTTAAAGCAGGGGAAATATTCTATATTAATTTTACTCATTGAGAAATGTAAACAGGGTGAGAATTTGCTTATCCGAAGAGTTACAGGCTGTTACAAGCTAAAATTTAGAACAGAGCTCTCTTTTATGAAACACTCAGTGCTTGTGATTAAACTGTCTGCAAATTATGTTTTTCTCCCATAATGCAGTTGTGTAAGCTCTTCATTTCGGTATTCGAATTGGAAGGAAAGTAAGGTTCATCATAGGAGAGTGTCCGGTGGCCTAATAAAATCTCCCCCTCTTCGCCATTTGTGGCATCTGATCTGCTCTGCTGTATTACTGCTTGCTTACCCAGCTTGCTCCTAAGATGGCATTCACATCAGGTTATAGCAAATAATTCCTTTGAATGCAGGAGGAATTGGAGTGGGTTACGCTCTGCAAACCCCTGCTGTTTTCATTGGGCTTGGCTACCTAATTAAAGATCAAGTCAACTTCCCAGTGTTGAGATTCAGGATGAAATCTACCACATGCAAGGATGATGAGCCTATCCAGCAAGGAAAATTAAAGATAAAAAAAAAAAAAAGTCAAAGCCTCTGAAAGAAAGGAAAGGCCACCTGGCAAAGTTTATGAAAGGCACACTCTTGCTTGCTATGTGTGAGCTGCATAGTGTTAAGAACATAATCACCAGCATGCACTTCAGACTGGGGCAACCAGTTCTCATTATGCTTTTGTCAGCTCGGAGAATGAGAAAGATGTGGTGTGAGCACTGGTCTGGATGCTGGAACTCATGAGTTCCCATCCTGGTAATGACGAAAGATCACTGTGTGGGCAAGTCACTTAACCCCTTTGTCGTTCTCTTTTTTTTAAAAGTGAAATGAGAATAGTATTTCCCACTCAGGAATGTGGAGGAAGATTAATTAATGTTTGAAAAGCCAGTCTTGCAGTGGGAAGAGTTATATAAGAGCTAAGTGTTTATTAACGATTGCCCTTTTATAGAAACTACTTCTTAGCACAGTGATATGGTAGATTAATAATGTGCTCCACCTGGAAAATAAGAGATTAGGGTGAATTTAGGAAGATTCAATCTGTTGGAGAAACCACGAAGTTCTGACTTAGCTTTTATTTCAGCAAAGTCTCACTGAACTCAATGCTTCTTTTGCCTGACTAGTATCATGATACCCTTTTCCCCTGAACTAGTCTAATTTGCTTGGGGAATAGGAAATCTCTGCAGTTTCAACTCATGGCATCACTTTGGACTTTTTCCATGACAGAACATGAATTTCAAAGGCAGAAGTGTCTTGACACCAAGAAAAAAAAAGCTGCTGGAAGCTGCAAATCTTTGGTCCTACAAAGAATCCACTGGGACTGTGTAAATAGAACTCCTTTGCCACAGCTCTGGTTATAAAGTCCTCCAAATTCCTTTTTAGCTAGGCATGTCTCAGCTTGCTGCCACCCTTGAAGGCCATCTGAAACAGCTTTGGCGGTGGGAAGGGCTCAGTTGCAGAATTACTGCCGCCCCAGCTTGTATCGATGCTTGCTGGTTTTCCCTGGTGAGCTCATACTTATTTTGCTGGAGAAGGGAAAGTCTGCAGCCCCAACTGATTTTCTGTGCCATCCTAAGCTTGGCAGGTAAAATCCCTGCAGGGTCCTGTAGGGAATGGAGCCAAGGCCGCAGCCTTGGGACTTCCTGCAGGGAATGCAAGTTCCCTTTTGTGCAGTGAGGGAGAAAGATGCGTGAGACTTATATTCAAGGACATGCTGCTTTTGTAAGGTAAAAACTGTAGAGCTGGAATTGTATGTTTTCAGGCAGAGCTAAATAAAATAAAGTCTGGTAGAATTTCTAGACATATTTTTGTTTTTAAATATAAAACTCCCTCTAATAGGTAAATTGGGCTGGGTTTTAGAGCTTATCTGATGATGTAGCTGGGTCAGCATTAATGTAGGAGCAAGCTATATAAGAGCAAGATAGAGTTGGACAGTATGTATCACGCAGCTTTTAACTCCAAGTGCCGCCTCCTTTGTCAGTACAGCACTGATCACCTCATAGTGCTCTGAAAAGAATTTAAGTAGACAGAAGTTTTGGAGCAGTATCAGTAGTTCATAGCAGAAGAATGATTTTTTTAAATTTGATCTTCAAACGCACACAAGTCAGGGGGATATAGAGAAGGATAGTATCATACTCAAATAATCTACGAGAAATGTAGATCTCTCTCTCTCCATTCTCAGAAGTCCTGTAACATTGCAGGGGGGTTGGAACTAGATGATCTTTAAGGTCTCTTCCAACCCAAACCCAATTCTCTGATTTGTATAATTAAAGGGAGTTATCTTTCTGAGATAATTTAAACAGCGAGCATTTTGTAGGACTCTCCGGTTTGATGATTACTTTTGTGTTACACTTTTTTTGTTGTTTGCCTCTCTGGCAGCATCTGTTCCACTGCTTCTCCTTTGCTCTGTAGGACCACAGAGGAGGAGGAGTAGTTTCCCTCTCCGGAATGCATTAGAAGGATACATGCCTGGTATTAGAAGAAGGGAGACCGAACTGGCGTTTTATGGAGAGCTTGCATCTAACAGCAACCTAGTTGTTCAAAATAAAGTCTAGCAATAAAGTTAGGGGTACAGATGAAATGAAGGCAGCTGCTTCAAAGAATGGATGTGCATGTGTATCTGGGCATTTTATTTCTCCCCAGCTTCCCCACCTCCCTCCTGCAGAAGTTCTCATTTCTAAATCAAGGGTGCTCAAAGACTTAAAAAATCTGTGGCTGAGGATACATTACATTTGGAAAACCTTTTGTCCTGTTAGGATGACTGTGCGATCATCACCATCCAGAATGGAGAAAACTGGGATGAGACTATCTAATATTCCAGATCACTCATCTTATTCATAACATGAGGTTATTTTACACATTGCTAATAAGGCAAAGTATTTTCCTCGAGGGAGTTTGCAAATGAGCTAGAAAAGATGGAGAATCAAATGTGTTATCATACTAGGCTTTGATTTACAATTTTCTATCATCGGTTCCAAAATGTGAACCATCAATTAGCTTTTTGTGAGTAGTAGCAGAAAAGTATAATAATGGAAGTTTTACTTATCCATAAATGAGTAATTGAGGTGCGTCTTTTTTATTTTTATTTTTTTGATTTATGGAGCCTTATGACTTTCCCAGACTCGGGTGTCTGGGGAATGGGAAATGGGTATCTATACACATTGCAGGATACATTTTCATTATCAGGGCTGAGTGAAGTTTTTCGGAGTGAATGGTGACTTCCCCCTTGGAGATTTTTTCAAGGGGTCTAAAAGCAAGACAGAGAACTAGAGACTGCTGGGTTCTGTTCTCTCTTCTGGCACCACTTTCTTTGCCTTCCTAAACAAGCTATGCAGGACAGACTGCTGGGCATGACATTTATTCCTGTGTGAAATCCTTGAGGTTAATGAAGCTAATAAAGTGACTAAAATGTGGCTGAGAGTAAAAATTTGCAGGAATGGCACTATGCTTCTTTGCCTTTGTTTCCTGATCTTTTAAAATGAGAATAATTGTATTTGGTAGCCGAAATAGCTGTATAAAAGACAATGAACATTCAGAGACTGCTTTGAAGATGAAAAGAGATAACTTTTCGAGACAATAACATGAATTAAAGACTTTATAGAAGTTGAATTTGTATGTAAAGAATCTTCTGACGAAGCTTGCCCTTGTAGTGAGTTCCCTGTGAAAATGTAGACCTTTCGTCACCCTGAATTGTTTCATCCTGTTCCTAATACCTGTTGACTTAGTCCTAAAATAAACGAAAGTTCAGAAGGAGGATTCTTTGTCACACATTGTATTATTTATTGGGGGTGCTGAATATGAAGCTTACCTGGGCAAATAAGTATCACTACTACATGTTCTTCTAGCAAGAAATCGTGGATGATTTCCATCTCCTTGTCTTGACTAGGAATCTGCAAATAAAGCTATTTATTACCCTTTTACAGAAAGCCTTTTTAAAAAAAAAATAAAAAATACCGTTTCCTTTCCTCAGAGATCGTTAATGAAGAAAATAATGACCTTTCTTCTCAGTGCAGTTCCCATTGCTATGCATTGTGCAGCACCCACATTGGAACTGCCATTTCATTTAATTTTACGTGCAATCTTGTTTAGTAATCTTAGCAGAGAGGATTAGGGCCGTATGAGCTGCAGAGACTGACTGAATGTGCGTTTGCCTAGGCCTGTAGGAAGGACTGCTGGCAGCACGGTGGGGAGAAGGCTTGTCTGGGGACTTGCAGCTGCAGGACTGCCCTTCTGTCATCTTTCCCCACCATCGGTTGGAAGAGTTTTGGGTGGGCGCGTGGAGAGTGTGGTGCTGCTCTCGGGGGAGAAGGGAGCGTTGTTTGAGAAAAGGATGCTGCCATTGCTGCGGATCACACTGATGTTTCCATTCTCTCTCCCCCTCCCTCATATCTCCTTTCCTTCCAGTCTGTGGCAAGCGTTACAAGAACAGGCCTGGGCTGAGCTACCACTACGCTCACACCCACCTCGCCAGCGAAGAGGGTGATGAAGCCCGCGAGCAGGAGACCCGCTCTTCCCCTGTCCACAGAAATGAAAACCACAAACGTGAGTAGTGTTTTCCCTTTGCCTTTGAGATCCTTTCCCGGGATGTTGCCTCCACCCTGCCTTTGCCTCGCGGAGGCTGGCGTGATTGCCTGGCTCCGTTGTGAGTGATTGGGACCTGGATGCTTGGAGCTAATCAACCGCAGCTCACTCGGGTGCTGGCTCAGCTAGTCAGAAATTCATTTCAAACCCAGCATTATCTCTGCAGCAAGTCACTTTTCCATTACTGCTCCTGTGGGGAGGAGGTGGCAAGGAGAGGGGGGAAAAGAAGAGATGCCCAACCTGCCCATCATCAAGCAGCCTCCCAGCGGCTGGTAGTAGGGATGTCACAAAAATAGACATCCAGTAGTTTGAGGGGGCTGCCTCTGCTTTTCCTTTGAATAAAAGACATTTATCCATGTCTCAGCTTTTTAGGTATGAAATTCACAGCACCTGTTCCCCTTATCCTTGCATCTCCTCCCCAAACAGCTTACCCTCAACTTCACCAGAAAGCTTCTTCTTAGCTAAAGTTTGGGAAAATCTGTGAAAAAGCATTGGTACTGATATACAAGGAGGAGAGCTGGAACACGAAAGGACAAAACAGTTATGTGTCTAGCTTCCCCACACTGGTATAGGGCTGAAAGAAATCTTTAGAGTACAGGTGACTCTATTTTACTGTCCTTCCTCTGCTTCTGAGGTACAGAATTGGGAGTCAAGGAGGTTGTTTTATTACTGATTTTTGCAAATTTCTAAGCCCCTGTTTCTCAAGTTTTCCAGCGTGCAATACTATGTGATGTTTGCTTTCACCTTGGGGTTTGTGTAGATAGCTTTGTTCACTTTCAAAAAGTCCTTTCGGATCACCATGTGAACTGTGTCATTTTAGTTAAAAGTAAGGAACAATGTGGACAAAGCAATAAAATGCTTATGGGGGAAAATATCTAGGCAAACACTTTCTGATACATTAAGAAGAAGTGGAAGAAATATGGAAGTAGGAAAACATTTTCTTTCTAAGCAGGATAATTGATAATTGTCCCCAGGGAGGTGTGGGAGGGGGTTTCCTTCCTCCAAAGCATCTGCTACTAGCCACTGTCTCAGCTTGAAGGGCCGTTTAGTGTGATCCCATTTGGCAGTCCCTATGTTTCTGTCACTTTTATGCTCTACCTTTTAGTTATTCACATGTTTTGTAGGTTCACAGCAAAAGTAATTTTGACTCCTCCAGCTGTTGATAAACTTGAGCTGTCAATGCAGTTAGAGTGACTGCTTGGGCGGGCTGGTGAATGTCAGTGCTCAGCCAGTAGCTTTTGTTTACTTACCATTTACATAATCTCTGTTGTGGTTTTTTTTTTTTCCCTGTGCCTGCCGTAGTCAGTAATAGTTGTGTATATGAGAGGCATATTGCAAATCTGTATTGAATTCATATCGATAATGGCCTTGCACAGATGCCCAAACAATGATGTCCCCTGTCCTTCAAGCTTGTCACAGAGGCCAAGGGCAGTCTCAGTCCTTATATTTCTGGTGCTTAGGAAATGAGAGAAGTTAGGAAGACGAAGAGCTAGAAGGTTAGGAGCTGCCAGCCTTGGCCCATGGAAAGAAAGATGCATTTCTGGGAAAGGGTAGAGGGGCAGCTGCTCAGGCTTGTGTTCCCCCAGAGCTCCCATGATGCATGTGGCAGAGGGAAGCTGCTGATGCACAGATCCCCAAACAGACAGAAGTTGGGAGCCGGTAGGGTAAACCTCTCTGAGGTCCAGATTCCTGAGCAGAAAGGATCTGCTTAACAACCAGCCAGGAGCCAGTGAGGTGCGGGCAACAGCCATGCGAATGTGAAGATCACCCCTGGGGAAAGTCCCAGACGCCGGAAGGTAACTCTCCCAAATGGCTTAGCTGTCGCAGTGGCTGTTTGTTCCTTTTTGCCTGTTTGTTTGTTTACAGCCTTGAGCTCAGATCTTGCATCTTTGCTCTTTCACTTGGCAATATTTAATTTATGCTGCCATTTATCTTCCATGTGAATGCTAATTGTCCACATTGCTAATGTGCAGTCATTAAATGGTCCCTTTGTACAGGGGGATGGTGGGGAGTCAGGGCATCAGATCCTTCCTCTCCCCTAAGAACTGCTAGGCATGTGTTATGAATTAGATTTGACAGGTCTGCTGTGTCGCAGGGCTCGGGCTTCAAGAATCCTCTCTGCATGGGCTTGGGGGGCGGGGGGGGAAGAGGGGGAGAGGGAAGGCAGGGGGGAATGTTAATCCAAACAGCTAATCCGCAACCTACTGAACAGGAGGACCAGAGATATGGTATAGAGCCGGGCCTGGTTATTTGCTTAGCAGTGTGTCAGAGAGATATGAGCAGCCTGATTTAGAAAAGGCAAGGCAAATTCAAGCCAGCCATTTGGAATTTGCCGTGCTGTGGGAGGTGAGCACCGGGTCAGCAAAGTTCAGGCGGGCGGCTGCAGTATGAGCTTCCTTCCTCTGTACCCGCATCTCCTCTGCAGCCTCCGCTCCTTGCAGCACCGGGGGTGACAGCAGCCGTGCTGGTGCAGGGGGGAGCTTTCTGGAGCAGTGCTTCCTCAGGATTCAGGATTCATGAAGCCCAGGCTGGTGCCAGCTCCACAGCTGATGGCCTCTTATCTTTCTGCACACCCAGTCCCCTCTATCTTTACTCTTCTCCTCATGCACAGACCAATTTAGGTGGTTCAGTAAATTATCCAGGGACTGGGAAAGAGATCTAGATAGGAAGAACCTACCTGAAACTGAGAACCACTGAATAGATGTGTGTCAGAAACGGGGACTGGCCCCAGCCCCAAGTCTCGCCTCCTTGGCACATCTCCCTGTCCTTGACTGTCGACAAGGTTTGTTTATTTACATCTCTCTCTCCTTCTGTCCTTCTTCCTCGCCTATAGATTACCCCTTGCAACATGGAAGACAGTTCAAATGTCTTCTCTGGCCTTTGCCTTTCCTAAAACATCTTAGCCTGGGCTTTGTTTGAGGTTTAGTTGCTTTGTTTATGTCTTATCTAGCCCTTTGACACAGATAAATAGTCCTTCCTCAGTGCCTACTCTTGCCCCTGCCTACGTACACATTTATTTTTGACTTTTCTGATTTTTTTTTAGCAGAGAATGGAACTGTGAAAAGGAAGTTATAGAAAACCCTTAAAAAAGTCAACTCTCCCCCAACTCCACTGATAAAAATAAATGATCTCACACCATTCTCAGCATTTTTTTTTTGCTGGCTTTTCCTCCACATGTTGGCACCGAGAGCGTGAGATTTGTGAGCCCAGGGTGCATCCAAGCCTGCCACAAAACACCTGCTGTTTTATTCCATCTCAGTCCATGGGTACAGGCCAGCTCTGGGGGCAGCTGGTGCTCACAAATTTTGAGACACTTCTGATATAAGAATTGCATTAGACTTCTATCTATTGAGATGTGTGTGTGAATGAGTGTACTAGTATAAATGCTCTTCCTTAATTCCTGGGAGAATAGGATAGTGTGTCTACGTGGAGAAAAACTTCCTCTCCTTTAAAGGAGGAGAGTTCTCAGTGGCATTTTGCTGTGTGAAACACTGGTTGCAGGCAGCTGTGCAGTAAACAGCAACTGAATGGATCTTATGCCCACAAGCACTTTGGCCAATGACAATCCTAAATAAAGCTCGTTGTGTGGGCTGTGGCTGGCCTGGCTGCCATGAGCAGGTTGGTCCATCCTGCAGTACAAGTCAGTAGTTAACGAAGGTGCAGTCCTGTGCCCCCCTGTCACTCTGCCACCTTGTGCATCTCACCTGCACACCCACCTGTGTACCTTCATGGCATTAGCCTGTTATGCCCAGTTCCATCGCAGATTTTATGATGTGGATAAATCTCTACTGGAGAGACCAGCCAAAGTTGTTTGTGTACTCTAAGCATAATTGGATACCCAGTCTCCAGAGATAAAAAATTAATGTGCTAACCTCAGTGTGCCTCCAAGCTGTCCTCCAGCTCCCCCACACAGTCATCTTTGAAACATTTTTATTTCCATCCAGGCAGGGGGCTGGCCATGAATAAATGACGAGAGTCAGCCCCTCAGTTGGAGACGAGCTGTTTGTTCCTCTCCACAAGCAGCATCAATTTGAAAAGCTACATCAGGCCTACTTTTTTCCCTGCCTCAGTTCTGACCCTCACTGGGGCCATGATGGGAGCTGCTTCTGAATGCAAGGATGCATCAATGCCCACCTTGCAACAAGATACCCTGCAGCAGGTGCCTTTTCAGTGAAAATATGTACATTACCTTGAGTTGACTTCTCATTAGTTTAATCTGTTTGGTTTTTTTCTTTTCCAGAGCTTGTTTTCATAAGGAGAAAGAGTCAGAATACTAAAAGAAACAGTAGTCATTGCAGAGGTTGGAACTGCATAACAATATCCACTTAAACCCTGCTCACAACTATTAATTTCTCAGATTTTGTGCCTATGTTTTGGGGTGCTGAGGAAAAAAATAGATCAGTTGTTTAGAGTTTTGGAATAGTGGAAAATCCCAAACTTGTTTCCTATATTCAGAGACCCATAGGTGAATGTTTATTGTTTTATTTGGAGCTGTGGGGGTCTTTTTGGTAGTTTGGGGTTTTTTGGGGGCCTGCTGGCCAGGACCTGAAATGTTGTTGTCAATGCCCAGCTCTCATTGAAGAGAAGCACCTAGTGCTTCTCAGTGGTTTATGAGAAAACATTTCCAAATTGACTAGTTAGTTTTTGATAACTGTTTTGAAAACCCAAAAAGTTTTGACTGAATTTGAACTTAGGTGTTCTGCTTTCTCACACTCCAGTGAGCAATTTGCAGATCTAAAGCCTACAACATGTCACAGGGACCCATTTAATGACACTGTCCATTCTTACCTGAATACTGAGGAATGCTGCCATACAGGGCTGTGTATTGGGCACTATAATCCCTCCTTGAGTTCCCTAAGATGATGGGAATGATGCATTTCAGTGGCCAGAGGCCAAGTTTCAGGAGAGGTACTCCTCCAAACCAGAAAATTCATATGTTAATATGTCAGACTTTTTTGTCT